CCAAAAAGAGGCGCCCAGCCAGCCCCTCCTCCCAAGATGGCGGCACCCTGCTCGGCTTCAGCTACTCCGGGAGGCTGGGAGGCTCTGCCAGGACCTGGCCACTTCCGCCGCCAGGCCATTTCCTGGAAGGCTGCATTTAAACGCGGCGCTGCTGCAGCAGGGTGGTGTGTTGCTGTGCTCGCATCGCCGCTCCCGGCCGGCTGGTATGTGGATCCAGCTTCTCGGCTTCTCCGCGGGGCTTTGAAAGGAGGCAGGCATCGCCGGGGAGCCTGAGAAGTCCTCCTGTTCTCCCACTGTGTGGAGCTGAGGGCTCATTTCTCTGCAGCTGGCTGGCCGGGGTGGTGCAGCAGCCATCAGACCTTCTGCAGGCGGTGAAGAAGAAACCCGGGAGGGGAGAAGAGAAGAGAAAAGAAGACGGAAGGGAGAGGAGAGGAGAGTCTTTTCATCGCCCACTGATGCCACATAGGGGACCTTGTCTTGCAGTCTCTTAGGACCCTGCTTCTCCCTTTTGCAGAAGAGAGCATGCTCTTGGCCAGAGGGTAGCTAGTGAGGAAGCAGCACCTTGAGGGAAGCCAGCGAATAAAGCTGTCCTGCTGGCTGGAGCAGAAGTCTAGGCAAGCGAGTGCCCTTCTGCTGAAGATCGGACCTTTCTGGAGGGGGAAAAAAAAGAAGGTGCCTGAGCCTTGCTGGGAAAAGAGTGAGTGCTGAGAAGGCGAGTCCCCGGGCCCACGTTCCACGATGTTCAGCTGGCTGGGTACTGATGACAGGAGGAGGAAGGACCCTGAGGTGTTTCAGACAGTCAGCGAGGGGTTGAAGAAACTCTACAAAACCAAGCTGCTCCCGTTGGAAGAATACTACAAATTCCACGAGTTTCATTCGCCAGCCCTGGAAGATGCTGACTTCGATAACAAGCCGATGGTCCTGCTGGTGGGGCAGTATTCCACTGGGAAGACCACCTTTATCAGGTAAACAGTTGGCTTGTTTATCGAGAGGTTGGCAGGACCCTAATCTTCCCTCTGGGACATGAGTGCCACCCCATTTGCCTTCAGTGGGGATTGCATATGTGCTCAAGGGTGGATTTGGGCCTACCGCAGTCTTTTGCTTGCATGTGTCAATCCACAGGGAGGGGTAACTCTGGTTGTTTCCCCACCCACTGCCATGGTGCCGGTCACCCATTGCTTGTATCTCATTGCTTGTATGAGAAGGCCTCGGCATGCAAATGTTCAAAAAGCTGCTTCCTGTGAGATGTTAGACCAGTGTGCTGTCAGAAATGAACAGATTTGTCAAAGAATTGCCATGGCAAGGAGCTACAATAGGTATGAGGATGGGGAATGCCTTGGGTGTGCTGCAGAAAATTTTAATTAATGTAAGTGTGTCTTGGGCTGGGGAAAGTTGGGGAAACACTGTTAAACTAAAGAAAACAACATTTCCTGGTTGCAAATACAGTTACGCAGCAGAAACTAACCCAGACTGTGGCTCAACAGCACAGAAATAGACATTCAAGAGTTGAGGCATTACTGTTGAACTGTCTTGTTTGTGGGGGCCCCCCCTCTTTCTTATTGGGTAAGATGCAAATATTAGAGCACATCTGATATTGGCTCCTGTTGTAGACTGACCCCTCATACAGTCTGCCTGCTCTGCATCAGGTGGCTTCTCAAAGCTATTGAACCATGATCCCTGAGCATGTGTCAAGGAACTAGTTGATTTCCCTCCCCACCAAATGATGAGGCCTAAGGGAAACTACCAGTGGATTCTTGAACTTGTGCCTTCTCAGTTATTACCCATTCATGTCTTCCTTTCTTAATGTAGTGCCCTGGGGTGCTCCTAATGAAGCGAGCTTTGCTGGAGGGGCAGGGTGTAAGGAAGAGAAATGTCCAAGTTCAAGGATCTAAAAGCAGCTCTGAAGCAGGGAGGCAGCTCCTACATCTCTACCAAGCACCTGCAGGTATTGGGGTGCATCCAAATCTTAGAGGAAGGCTAATTGCTGGTAGCAGCATAATAGGTTTTATAGAAGAGCAGAAGATAGGCTTAAAAGTTTTGATTGCAGCTGAATTCAGATCAAATTATGAATCTGAATACCTGGAAAGGTCATGGTAAACTCAGTTCAATTCTCAGCACTTCCTTTATTCTGTATTTTTCTCTGCTGAATAACCCAGGGGTGAATTAGGCCTGGTATATTGCACTTTTACACTGGTATATTTGTGTTTGAAATCAATAGGGTTGGGGCTAGCATCAAACTGGAGTGAGGTGGACATAAGAGAGGCCCCATCTTCCTTCTTACTTTGTAGAAGTATTTCATGGTTTAATAAGTGATTGACAAGAATAAGAGCAGGCAAGTGAAACGGGCTGTGTCTGGCAGTGAACAACCTTGAGGAACATATTCTTACCTGCTCCAATATTGGTGCAACCTAATACTGTAACCAAGAACAAGGAAGGGAATGAATTATCAATGCCTAGGCAGCCATGTGCCACAAACCCCAACTCACTTCTTCTATTTGAGTATGAGGTAGGTGTGCTGAGTGTAGCACAAGTTTAACCTTGAAGGAAGTGGTAGGGTTGTCTGCTTTGCACAAAGTGAAACAAGGCTGGCTGACTAAGCGCTTCCTCCCCACTACTCAAACTTTACCCTGAAACTTTTGCTTCAAATATCTGCGCTATAGTGGAGCTAACTAGAAACCTGAGGAGGTCATTAAGTCTCCACCTCTAAATTGCCTGACTTCAGGTCCACATCGCTTCCCCTTTCTTCTCTTCCGCCCCTCCTCCCCCATATACTTGCCTTGCTTCCTTCCTGGACTCTGTGGTATCACTAGCTTTTTCCCACCACTTTTCCCATTTCTATTGCAGATAAACTTGCCACCCTCCACCCCCACCTGCTTCCCCTCCTAGATCCCCTTCTACCGTTCAGTCCCACCCTTCTTTCCAGCCCCAAATACTTTCTGTAAAGAGTCTGGCTGACAATCAAGGAAGCATTCCCAGCCAAGGTAGGGGAGTTCTTCTTCCTCCCTTTGGGAGGAACTGGTGGCATAGAGACATGGCTTCACTTCCTCCTTGGAGGTAGCCCACTGGTGTGGGAGAGCAAATTCTCCTGGGGCTGCAAATTCTCATTATTCATCCCAGGCCTGGCTCAACATATGCTTATATGAGAGCCCAGGGCAAAGCGGAATCCAGCCTGTTTCTTCAGGCAAGGTGCAACACTGCACTTGGACTACCACTTACCTCCTGATTCACCTTTTATCCACTCTAGCCAGCAAAGGTGAAAGGGTTGAAGAGGTATCCCCTCATCTTGTCCAGATATGCTTCCTTGATCATCAGCCAGACTCTTCACAGAAGATGTTTAGGCCTGGGAAGAAGATGGGACTGAAAGGGAGAAGGGGATCTAGGGGAGGAGGCAGGTAGAGGGATAGTATCAACAATAGGAAGAGATCCCAGCAGCAATGTGGGAGGCTGGTCTTCTGGTATTACCAGCCTGACAGAAGTAGGAAATGCCAGGAGCTTGTGATGATTGAATTGTGACAAAATTTCCTGCTTAGTCTCACAGAATCTGTTTGTTCAGGTGATCTGGGTAAGGATCAAGCTAGTTCCCAGACTTTTATAAAGAAGAAGCCACATAAAGCCTTGGAGAAGAATTTTAAAGGGAGAGCAAGGAAATTAAAGCACTAATTGGAATCAGTATTTTTAGGAAGAAGCAAAAGATTTCTTGAACATTTCCCTTCCCCAGATTCCTGACCAGGACTCGGGAGAATTTGAAGGTGAGGCTGCTCCCAGAGCATCCAGCCTACTCGCTAAATTTAAATTCGGTGTGTACTAGGGAAGATCATTCTTTCCTGTTATGTGGCTCCTCCTATACAAACATGGTCAATATAGTCCTGTTATGTCTCGATTCCCAGGACATTGATTTTTAGGTACTCCTAACAGGAGAGAGGAACAACAGGACCTCCCTCCCCAGCAGCATCTGGGTAGGGGTCCCAAACCTGGCTGCTTAAATGTCGAGGCTGGAGGAGGGAAGCTTTAGGCTCAAAGCTTTCATCTCAATGAAACTGTACCCCAAGGTCTCTCTTGAGATAAGCAGCAATATCTTGCAGTTGGATTCTGCCTGTCTGGAGGTGATGGCAGAAGCAAGACAGCAAAGGTCAGTGGTGACAAACGTTCCCAGAGGCTCAGGCAGGAGGCTAGTTTCTGTGCATTTGGAAGCCAGTGGAGCGAGACTGGTTTTGGTAAAAGCTGGCTATTCTCTCCTACTTCTGGAGACCTAAAGGATTGAGCCTTCTTTTGCTACATGAAAGATGAAGTGTCCTAAATTCAGCCTGTACATCTCTACCCTCCCTAGCCCCCCTCCCCTGTCTCCCTGGCATAGTCCCCAGCTATGCAAAAAGGGTTTACATGTCCACATAAGTACACTCCCTGGCTCCTTGACCTGGGAAGTGAAAAGGGCTGTTTTAAACGGTAGCAGATGAGATTAATACTAGCACTGATAACAGAATTCAACAGGAGCTTGTCTCTAAAATGTTATTGCCTTCCTCTTTTTCAGCATGAGGAGGGAAAGGCAAGACCGAACATTATTATCCTAATTAATTAGTGCCTTGTATTCATTGCTAAAAATAGCCCTGGCTTGCATCCAGCCACTCTGTTAATATAAACCAGAACTGGCCAGAGCACTGCTGCCTGCCTGCATTGGCTGGCGTGGGTTGATAGAGTTCATGCACCAAAGGCAGCTTTTCTCACATGCTGGTCACCCCTTCCTGCCTCGGACATTCAACACTGCTGCTCCAGGCACAGTTTTTTCCATTTTCCCCTTCCCCCTTTCCCTCTGCAGCCCTTAGCATCCTCTTTCCCCCTGTAGAGCAAGCTCTTGGACTCCTGCATGACTCATTGCTAGACTAAACCAGGCCCCCTCCCCCACATCCTGCAGCATCCCAGCATGAAGAGAAAAGCTGTTCCTTTGCTTACTAGTAGGGGATGGCAGTGGCAAGGGGCTAGGACCAAGTCTTCCACACTCTGGCTGGTGTAGGCCTGCCCTGGAGATGCTGCTGTAAGTGAGACCAGGATGAAATAACCTGGAATCCAGGAGTGATGAGGCTGGTACAGCATTGCAGCCCAGAACTAAGTGGTCAGATGATGATGTTACCAGCTCATGCCTGTTCAGGGACAAATGTCTACCTTCCAGCTTTAGGATTGTTGGCTGTAGCTGTGTTGGTCTAAGGACACCAGCAGACTAGGTTCTTTGGGTAGACACGATTGCTTTTATTAGGCCAACTAAATAGTTGGAAAAGTTGTTCTTTGCAAGCTTTTGGGCACAAAGCAGAAAGGTGTTTGCCCAGAAGCTTGCAAAGAACAATTTTTCCAACTACTTAGTTGCTCTAATACAGGGGCAGGCAATTATTTTGGGCAGAGGGCCACTTACTGAGTTCTGGCAAGGCATCGAGGGCCACATGACGGGCAGCCCAGGGCAGATGAATATTAATTTTCTAAATTTTGTTGGGGCCCCGTGCGCCAGATAGAATGGCCTGGCGGGCCGCATCTGGCCCCCAGGCTGCATTTTGCTTACCTCTGGTCCAATAAGATCACATCTACCTTTTAAAAAAAAAAAAAAAAAAAAAAAAAATCTTGTCCGCCTTCTAGCTAGCACCAGCAGAAAGCAGTCTCATCCTGGTGGACCTTAAGTCATGTGCTATGTGGATGCTGCTCTTTCCCCTTCATCCCTAGCAATAGCTCTGTAGCTCAAGGCGAGACATTAGGAGGGAAACCTATGCTGTAGATGCTCAGAGTGAGTGGGTACAGAATTCTAGTGCTGTCGCTTAGCTGCTTTCATGACTAGCTTCATTTTGTACAAAAGATAAATAAATTTTGCACGTGTACTTAAGATTGCTTCATTCTGAAGAGGCAGTTTTGCCTCGCTGACAACCAAAGGGAGCCTTCAGCCTGTCAGACCAGTGTATGCAGTACTTCTCAATGCTTTCCCTTGTGC